CTTCATTTGAATATAAAGCGTTTAGCCTTCTGCCAGCATCCCGGAAAGCCCCATATCTACCACCAGGAAAGCCACCCTCCTTGTTTATTGTGTCTTAGGCAGTCAGGATAACTACCACCAATTCTCACCTCCTTGAGGACCCATCCTGAGCCCCTCTCCTTCTGTTACTAGGGGTCTGGAGCTGCTGGGCTTGGTTTAGTGTGGTTCTGTTATGGGGATGTAAATAGCAGAGCAGCTGTGCTCAGATTTTGTTTTTAGATGTGAGTTCTTAATTTTTTTTTTTTTTTCAGCCCAGGCTGGCCACAAACTCATGAGCCTCCTGTTCAGGCTCCCGAATAGCAAGGCTCTCACCCTCATCACACTTCAGGTCAAGCTGGAGTCTCCAAGTTGGAACCTAGCATCCAGTAGATTTTTAAAAGCCTAGCTGAGATAGCTGAACAGTGGGTTCACCTGTTTTTCAGTTATTTGGGAGGATGAGGAGGGAGTGTGGCCAAGAGCCCAGGAGTTGGGGTGACACAGTCCCTAGAGCCACATAGGGAGACCCAGGCTGTAGATCTTTCTTACCCAAAAACTGAAAATGAATTAGATGATACATTCTATTTCCTTAGTCTTCACATTTTGCATAGGAAAACCCCAAGGCCTCCCTGAAGGCAGGTGACTGGCTCAAGGTCATAGGGCTGGGAGTTGGCTGAGCCAGCCTTGGGCCAGTGCCACCTTGGAAAGGATGCTATGGGGAAGCCTTTTGCTACTTACTCCGCAGTGTTGGCGGTCCAAAAAACCGCAGGAGACTTTTGCAGGCAGCCAAGTCGGATGTTAAGTCAGGGTAGAGCCCAGGGCCAGCCAGGCCCTGCAGACAGGCCTGGTGGCTCTAGGCAGTGTGTCAGGACAAGGCCCACAGCATGAGATCTGGCATGTTGCCTGCTGGGGTGGTGGTGGTGGTGTTAGGGGACTCTTTGAGAGAGGCTCTTAGCTCCTGAAAGACAACACAGGGCCTTCTGGAATATCCCTCAAATGGCCTGCTAACTAGAGCATGGGGGCCAGCAGAAGCAAGGGCTATGTTAGAGGCTTCCCCTTGACCCGGTACTGGTGCTATCCTTGTGGAAAGTTGCAACCTCCTGGAATTGTCTCAAATTGGGCTCTACTTTGAGAATGGAGAGGGGCCCTGTGGTATGGTCTCCTGAGGCATGTGTTTACATGGGTCACCTGGCATCAGCAACTGGAGGAGAGGGACAGATTGAGTTTGAGTTCATAGAGCATGTTGGTCCCTGGACCAGAAGTGCCAGTTGTCACAGAAAAGAGACTAGGTGGCTCCATCCACATCTGTGGCATTTAGAGCTGGTAGAGCTGGGGGTGGGGTTCACAGTCTGTTGTGAAGAGTCCTCCAGATGTCTCACAGGCCTGCCTGTGAGGAATGAATTAAATATGCCTTTCTGTGTGCTCTGAGGTGAGGGCTGAGGGTGAGGGTCAGGACTAAACTTTGCAACAGACACATGAGGGATAGAATGTCAGACTGTAGGGGACCTAAGATGTCACCTGCATCCTCCATCTTGGTCCTAATGGGTTGAACGTTTGAGTGAGCATAAAATGACATAGCAAGTTCAAACCAAGGCATAAGTCTCTCTGTCTCATACTAGGTAAGCATGCACTCTGCCCCTAGCCACATCTCTAGGCATTTAGTTAATTAATTTTTATTGGTGTGTGTGTGTATGTATGTATGTATGTATGTATGTATGTATGTATGTATGTATGTATGTATGTATGTATGTATGTATGTATGTATGTATGTATGTATGTATGTATGTATGTATGTATCTATCTATCTATCTATCTATCTATCTATCTATCTATGTACGTACAAGTGTATACAAGTATCCTAGGAGGCCAGAAGAGGGCTTTAGGTCCCTGAAAGTAGAATAACATTTGGTTTTGAGCCTCCTAATGTGGGTGTTGGGAAATGAACTCTAGTCCTCTGCAAGAACAGCAGGAGCTCTTAGCTGCTGAGCCATCTCTCCAGCCCTGCATTTATTTAGTTTTTGAGACAAGGTTTTTCTCTTTAGCTCAAACTGCTCTCAAACTTACTATGTGGCTCAGGTCAGTCTCCAACTCATGATCTTCCCACCTCAGCCCCTCCAGGGCTGGGATTACATGTATGTACCTCCATTCCCTAATGAGACTGGATCCTATGGTTGTAGTCTGCAGAAATCAGTTTAAATTAACTTTAGAAGTAAATAGAACTGGAGAGGCCAGGTTCAGTATGCTTCAGGGGTGGTTGTATCCAGGTGCTGAACTGTCATCAATCAGTTGCATTTTTGGTTCCTCAGTGCCTATTTCTTTCTCCATGGGGGCACCTTAGCTGCCCCAGTGAAACCCCACCCCCGCAAGCCATCCCAACTTAGAAGGAGCCTTCTTTTAAAAAAAGTTAATTTTAGGATTATGTGTGTATGCATGGTGTGTGTCTATGTGTGTGTTGAGGGCGATGCACATGGCATGGCATACTTGTGTGTGTGTCAGAGGAAAACTGTGGAGTCTGTTCTTTCCTTCCATCTTTGTGTGGGTTCTGGGGATAGAACTCGGGTCTCCAGGCTTAAATGGCAAATGTCTTTAACCCATAGAGCTGTCTTGCCAGCTCTTCAAGCCCCAGGGATTTTTGTTTTGTTTTGTTTTTAAACAAGAGTTCTGGCTGTCATTCTAATTGTCCAGGCATAGTCAAGTCCATCAGTGAGCCACCCATGGCTAACCCCTCTGATTGTCCAGGTCTTGTTCACATGCTCCCCAGGAAGTAAGAGGTGAGATCAGTTCCTAGATACCCCATAGGATGAGATCAATACATGTGCATCTCCAGATCAAATCAGTTCAGGCTGTTGCCATGTAGGGTGTGAGTGCCAGCAAGCCAGATAGACCCACTGACACAGATAGCCACTCTTACCTGTCTGAGGTGAGCTGGCCTCTTATTGGTTAGGATTCACCCCAGACAGAGTGACATCCTTCATGGTTCCACAGTGACATCCTTCATGGTTCCTTGAACACTGTACTGTGTTAAGAATTGTGCTTCAAACATGCTGACTCAATCCTCTTTCTTTCTTCCTTTGGCACAGCCCAGGAGAGTCAGGTACATGTTGCCATTTTCCATTTCTGTGCCTTGACCATTGCAGATATTACCAGTCCACTTCTGCTTCTGTAGGGCTGTGTCCAGCCAGGAAGTGGCCGAAGCCCCAGTGGCTTCTTACTCATATCTCAGTCTCATTCTAGCATTTTGGGCTCCTTGAGAGCAGGGACTTCAGCTTCTTGGGCCCTGCTGGCATCTTTCCCCGTACAGTGCCTGGCACATAGTAGGTGCTTAAGAAATTGTTGACTATTCCTACTTTGTGCTACCTTGGACTCATTGAATGTGCCCTGATGCAGTAGTGGCAGGTCTGAGGAGGAAGGCTGGTATATACTGACAGGACTGCTAGAACTTTGCTCAAGTTGTGGAACAAGCAAGAAGGTAGAGCTGCCAGGGAGAAGGAGAAGAGGGGCTTAAGGGGGGACAGGTGCCCTTGCCCACCTTCCTCCCTCACCCCTGTGCATCACCATTAATCCTGGTTTAAGTGTCCCTGAAATCTTAGATCTCCATCAATAAGAATGCCTTTCCCGATTCTACACATTTTTATATTCCAGGAAAGCTGAAAGGCTTTCCTGTGTCTGGGCCAGAAGCACTGCGGGTGGCCTGGGACTCCAGGCACAGAGCTCTGTCCCCACTTGTCTGTTTCCCAAATCCAGTCCTAAAGAACAGGCTCCTTTTCTTTCTTTCTTTTTCTTTTTTTTTTTAAGCATCTGAGGTGCAGCCCTGTTGTGGGGCTCCCACTGATCGTGCACAGGACTCTGGGGTCTATCCCAACACTGTAACATGAACAATAAATCAGAATCCATGAGATGGCTTCTGGGCCATCTCCCCATGGGAGAAATGCTGTGCAGTGGAGTTCAGCAGGTTTTCTGGGCATGAAGGTTCTCAGTAATTTAAATGCGGTAATTGGTGGGCTCTGCCTTCTAAGACTCTTGGGGCTGGGCTGTCAAGGTGGCTCCGCTATGGAAGGCACTTGCTGCCTGCTAAGCCTGTTGACTCCAATTCAACCCCCAGGATCCACATGGTGGGAAGAGTCTTCCTGCAAGTTGTCCTTCGACCTCCACATGACAGTCCCCCAACACACAAAGAAATGTAATAATAATAATGATAATAACAGTAAAAGGGATTCTCTCCACCCCTCTGTCTAGCTTTGTCCATAGGGGATCGTCAGTGACAGACCTGGGTGGGTAGGTTACAGAGCGGGTAGTGGTGTGGGCTTTTTGATCTGGTCTAGTGAGTGGATTACCAATGCATGCCAGCAAAAAGAACCGCTCTTTTAAAAAAATGTTATATGTATTATGTGTGTATGATATATGTCTCTGAGCATGGCACAGTGTATATGTGGAGCTCAAGGGACAGCTTGCAGGAGTAAGTTCTCTTCTTCCATCATGTGGGTCTGGGAAATCAAACTCAGGTAGGTTATCTGGCTGGGCAGCAAGCACCTTCACCTGCTGAGCCATCTCTCTGACCCAAAAGGGACCTTTGTTGTACATCAAACCCACCAGGGCTTCAAACATCTCACAGTGAGCAAAGGCAGTTGGGTGATTCGTTGTGACTTGGGCTGTGTTCAAGGGCACTGAAGTCAGAAGAAGGATTCAGACTGAGTGAGAGAAAGGAAGGAAGGGGGGAAGGGAGGAGAGAGAGAGAGAGAGAGAGAGAGAGAGAGAGCATATGTTTGTGTATGACTGACCACATGGGCCTGCATTAGCACACATGTGAGAGTGCAGGTCTGTGTGTGGATATACATGCTTGGGACTCAGCATCTCCCCTGTCAGGTCCCTGGGGTCCCACAGGTCCCCTCCCTAGCATATGTGTGTTGAGAGTCACCCACAGTCAGACCTGGTCACCCTGGGCATGCAGGCTCTGACCACACCTCTTTGCTTCCTCTTTGCAACAGGTGCAGAGCCAGCCGCACAGCCCCTTCAGAGGAGCCTCTCAAGCGTAAGTAGTTTTTCAGCTTCCGTACAGGCTCACCAACACCACCCTCTGCAGGGAGGAGTCTCCAGCTTAAAGTGTCCTCCAGGCTCTAGGAGAAGACAAAATAACTGAGGGGGGCCTCATCACATGTTCTTGGCACCTGTGGGTGGAAGGTCAACTGGACTGCCTGCCTGTACCTGTGCTGTGCCAGGGAATAGATGTGGCAGGTGTCACATGGGGCGTGGGAGCTTGGATGAATTGAGCCTGAGACCCACCTTCACAGGTGGCCTGGCTCCAGACAGGATGCTCCAGATTTTGATCACAAGCCTCTCCGCTAATCTCTTCTATTTGTGTGCATGCTCACGAGGGTGTGTTTGTGCGCATGCGTACGCACCTGTGTGCAGGCCCTGCTGGGGATGGAAGGGTGCTAATTCTGAGCTCTACCACTGAGCAATAGGCCCAGCTTCACTGAAAGTTCTATTAGAACAAAACTGAAAATGTTCAGCAAAGTTGTGAGATCTCTGAATTTCTGATGCCCTTCACTCTGATGGTCCTGGTGTTGATGCTGGCCAGAGTGTATTATCTATACCCACTGCTGTCTTTCCTATGAAGAGCCACATTAATAATATTCTTGCTGAATCATTGGGGAGTAATTTACAAATGGGGGTGCCCCTTCCCCTAGTCCTTCACATATTTCATAAGAGCAAGGCCATTGTCTTATGTAATCACAGCCCAATTATCAGCCCGGGACATTTAACATTGACATAGTTCTCATATCTAATCTGCTGGTTGTCTTGGTACTTACTACAGCTTGCTTTTTCTTCTCATTAATTTTTTCCCCCTTTCTTCTAGTTCAGAATTGTAATAGTGCCCATAGGAAGGATTTTGATATTGTTTTTCAGACTGATTTAGCTGATTTTAAACTTGGGACTTCAAAGTCCTTTTAATCTTGACATTTACTAAGAAACACTGGAGGGTGTATACACACTCTCTGGAATGTTCTAAGTCCATGCCCTGCCATCTGCCAGCCACGCCTCTTTCCTGCCACTTTGTTGATCTTATGACCCACCTGTGGACCCTGCTCTCAAATTGGATAACTCCGCCTTCCTGGGTAGAGATTGCTTAATATCTAATCTTCTTCCCTCCCAGCTCTCACTCCCTTTCCCTTTCTGCCTCTTTTCTTTCTCGTAGCTCTGGGGTGGAGCCCTCTGATGTAAACCATTCTCTATCCTGCGCTATACTCTCAGTTTCCAAGGCAGGTCTCTCACTGGCACAAGGCTGGGGCATGGTTAACTTCGGGTCATCTGTGGAGCTCTCGTGAGTCCCCTGGTAACTGCCACTTGTGGCTGGATCCAATTGCACTTTTGTTCACTCTCCCTGGATGAATGTGCTTCTGTGTCAGTTACAGTCAGTCAAATGGAGACCAGGGGTCCTCTGATGTCAGATGTGCCCACCCCCAGAGGCTCAGAAGACCTCCCTTAGCAGCTGTTGATGGGCAGATAACCTTCTCTGTTGTGCTCAGAGTCTTCACTTTAATGGCCATGTGTCAGGGACTCTTAACGGCCTGTGGGTACTGGACTTGCCTGGAGATGTAACACATTACCTTGTTATAACCCCAAGAGCCATGTGACAACCTCAACAGCCATGGTAGTAGGAGTTCTTATTCTTTCTGTAAAAATGGCAGATGAACAGGTGGAATGCATATGAGTGCCAGGCATGGCCACACCCCTCAGCAAGTTGGGTACAGACTTTCAGTAGTGCTGTCTCCTAGGTACTCGTATCTCCTTTGTGTAGATTGGGAAACAGAGACTCAGCGGTAAAGGGGCACCTTCCAAGTTCCCACAACTATGAACCCACTTGTCCAACTCTGGTACCCACTTGGTGGCACTGCTGTCCCTACTGCCCTCCCTATAGGCAATGAGTCCCCTCCAGGGACTCCCCTTCTCCTTCCCCTTCCCAAGACCTTCCTGCTGCTGGTTAATAAGCAGCCAAGGATAGTGGAAGCCAAGGAGGCTGCTGCTTGCTCCGAGGCTGGAATGTGAATTCTGTTTCTAGATAAAGAGTCTTGTGCTAGTGGCTGGCCTCTTGGGGCCTGGCAGCCTCATAGGCAGAGAGAAGATGGAGGCCGGCCTGCTCCTCCTCAAAGCTAATCCTAGATGCAGACCATGCTGTGGGGGCACTTTGGCCCTTCAGACTGCCCTACACCACTTCTACGTAGCCCTTCTGGCTTGCTCTTTCTGAAAAAGCTCATGGTCTCTCTTCCACCATTTACATGGTGGTCAGTAGGATTTGAAGGGAGCTTATTACACAGATATGATACACACTGAGTTCTGGGTGTGGCCCACCCCCACTCATTTCATGGGGCCCCTAGCCTTTGGTTTTCATCTCAGAAGGGTATCTTTTCAGCTTTGTGGTGGAGAGAATAGAGCTGAGGTGTCAGGCAGGTCCAGGTTCATTCTAGTTCCAGGGCTGGGATGTGACCCAGGAATCCCTGGCACTACAAGACAAACTACAAAGCTCTCAACCTAGCCCCAGAATGTGCCTGATGTGTGTGACCTTGAAGGGAATCACTAAACATCTCTTGAGTCTCAGACTCCCCACTATAAAAAGCCAAGAGAATTGAAAGTCCACTGCAGGACAGGGGTTGGCAGAACAGGTGACATGGAGCCTTGGTGAGCCCAGGGGAGTTTTATGGGCTCAGCTAGTTTAACAGAATTAGTGCCAAGCACCACACATAGAATTACCTCATCAAAGGAGTCCTTGGAGCAGCTGCACCCCCTCAATTGAAGAGGCAAGTCTGCCTTCCAGGGTGCTGCCCTCTGGGATGATCACTTCTGGGTTCTTGTCCTCTGCTGTGCAAGGTACTCTAAGGAGGAGACTGAGCAGGGCATGCCTCCTGCTTGTCTGTGTATTCCATGTGTCCTTTACTGAGTGCCACCTCAGTACCAACCCTGATGCAGGGGCCAGCCCTGAGCTTTTCTGTCTGACGCCCTGACTGTGGTTGTACATGGGCATATCTTACACCTGGATGCAGTGTAGAAGTCCTCCCCTCCCCCTACATGGGGCAGAACCCAGGGTGCATGCTTGCCTCTAATTCTGCCACTCAGGCACACTTCTATCCTGGGATACCCATTTTAAAGATGTGCAGACCCCAGATAAGCTTTTTGTGTGGCAATGACCAAATGAAGCCCCACTGTCACTTAGGGTCTGGGTGCCCTGGTACAAGGGATTCCCCTCTTGCTGCCAATTCCCTTGTCTGTTAAAGACTTGTGTGGAGCATAAGGAAGCACTGATCCCGTCCAGTCTCAGCCCCAGCTTGGCAGCTTAGTGGGACATTTCCATGGGGGGTCACAGCACTTACCTCATTTTGACTGGTATCCCTCTGCCCATCATTTCCCATGCTGACTCTCTCTTTGCCTCTGTCCTACCCCTCCACCCTCACTCATCCCTGCAACCCTATCCTTCACCCCTGGACTCTTGTTCTTGCTATTTTCTAACACAAGTTTTATGATTTTTAGCTGGAGCCCTTGATCATTCCTCTTACAGGGCCTTCTCTTGCCTCTTATCTAAGGCTGGTGATGGATCAGTGGGAACAGTGCCACAATTGATTAGTAATGTCTGTCAGGGGAGCATGCTAGCTGGCTAGCAAAAGGTGAACTGTATATCATTTGTATGACATTCCCTCAGTAATGTATACCTGAAGAGGGAAGCCCAGAGGCCTTCAAAAGTGCTCCATAGCCAGCAGGAAAGAGGCTTCATGGGGGTGGGGAGAAGAGTAGGAGGGGTCTGGGGAGGGAGAGGGTGAGACCTTGTTTTTCACACCGGGCAGCCAGAGTATTCAAACTCTCATATTATACTGGGCTTTGTGTTTTGTGCTGGGTGTGGATAATGCAGGGATCCCTTGGGACACCGGATAGGATTGCCAGGTAAAATACAGGGCACTGACTCAGTGAGCATTCCCAGGCACCACTCTGTGAGCCATTCTGTGGTTTCTCCGCAAGAGTAGCAAATGCTCTTAACCGCTGAGCCATCTCGCCAGCCCCAGAGTTTGGATATTTTTAAAAGCTTGTGTCTCTTATTGATGCATCTTTCTAACTGTGGTCATAGAGCATTGCTCTTGGAGACATTCAAAGACATCTGTCATCCTAAAAGAGGCAGAACCAGAGTGGCCTTTGTTCTTGGCTTTTGAGACGGGGTCCTGCTGTATATATCTCTTGGAATCTAACAGCATCCTCCTGCCTCAGCTTCTTGACTGCTGGGATTATAGGTATGAGCCATCACACCCAGGTCCAACAGTGGCCTTCTCCAGGCTGACTGATGCCTGGATCCTATGGCCAAGGAGAGGTGTCACCTCAGCTTCTTACCTACTCTGCTTGGGACAGGATCTTAACCCTTTGACCTTTCCAGTCTTTGAGCAAGTTTGCCTTTTTATCTGTTACTAGCTTTGCCATCCTGCAGAAAGACCAGGGCTGGCAAGAATGCTTGATGGCAGGGGAAGTTTGGGGAAACTCTCTGAAGTATATGAAAAGTGAGAATCGAAAGTCTGATTGTCAGTCATCAAAAGCCTTGGGCTTTTCTGGTGTGGGCGTGTATATTTGAAATCCTAGCCTCCAGGAGGTGGAGTTGGAGGATCAGGAGCTCATGGCTATTGTTAGTTACACAGTGAGATTGAGGCCAGCCTCAGCTACATGAGACTGTCTTAAAATACAAATGTAGTGGACTTTTCTGTGGTTTAGTCTCTACTGTATCCTGTGGACTCAGGTGAGAGACAGACTGCTCAGTCTGGAGATTGCCAGGGCAATCTGAAGCTGTCTTAGTTATGTGTCCTCTGTGTATGTGCTAGCAATGGAAACCGGGGCTTCCCACAGCCAGACAAACACTCCAGCACCGAGCCTCACCCCGTAAGGATGCTCTGGACACACCAACTATTTCCGATGTCTTAAGCAACAGGTGGGCACAAGACCGGAAGGGCATTACCCTTAGAGGAAGCAGCGTGTGTAAACGCCTGGTGTGGCTGAGAGTGAAAGCGAAGAGTAACTTTCAGGAAGCTGAGAAAGGCGTGTCTTGGCCTGGCTTATCTTCTGGGCAGGGGAGGGGACTCTCACCTGATGACCTCAATGCTGGATGTTGTGTCCAAGGGTTGGTCTTGCTCCACTTTGGGGAACCAGACTGTGGAGACAGACCAGTGGCCATATTTGTGGCTTGAGCTTGCGGCTGTTAGGTAACTGTTTTGATGATGGGCATTCAAGATGGAAAAGCACAACTGGGCTCTCACCCCAACTCAGCCTAAGAGTCACCTTGGCTGGAGGTTCTGGGAGGAATGCTGTTCTTGGGAGTATTACCTAGTTAGACATTTTCACAGGGCTTTGGGGGGTGGGCCATAGAGAACCACCCTGCCAAAGCTCCTTGTTTGTCACCCAGTGGATGGAGAACCAGAATATCTGGTGTTTGCCTGGTGGGTTTGTTTGTTTCTTTCACAGACATGAGAATGGTCTCATGGAATCAGTGCTTGTTTGAAAAGTTCCTAAAATAAAAGCCAGTGATCTTCCAGGGTAGAGGGTGTATTGTGGCTCCCAGAGCATTTTAAATCTGATCTGTGCTGAGGCCCTTCCTCCAGCCTTGCCTTATGTAATTTGAGATGGTCCATTTAGCAGATGATGCTACTGAGGCCCTCAGGGAGAAGCCAGGGTCCTGAGGTCACCACTCAGATGGCCAGTGACCCATTAGGTTCTAATTAAAATCTAGGTGAGGCAGTGGAGGAGGCCGACCAGATTCTCAAAAGGAGATATTGCCTGCTATGGACTTGAGAGCAAAGCTGCAGAAGCCCCGGGGAGGGACCCTCCTTTCCCAGCATCAGGCATCAGTGTGTTAGGAAGAAGTAGTAATGTAGAACTCGGCCATGGTGGGGGAGGGGTAAGAAGGAACTCCTTGACCAAATAAATAGATGAGTCAATTAAAAAGGATGGAGTTAGGGGCTATTTATAGCTATGGCCTAAATCACAGGTATCCTTGCCCCCAAGGAGGAAAAGGAGACCTTTTTTTGGGTGTCCCAGGCTGTATACATGACTAAGCTGATTAAGCCCTAGGCTGTGGAGGGTGGGATACTGGAAAGAGTGACTGAGAGCTCAGAGTGACCGCTCAGGGAAGGTGAGGGAAGCGGGGGAGGCACTGCTGGAGCAGGCAGGGGGTGGGGAATGGCTTGGGCTAGGGCAGCCCCTAGAGTTGGCTGTCCCCACTATTAGTCATGGAGAATAGCCATTCCTTGGACTTTGTCCTCCTGATTGTTTTAACCTGGTTGATCTTAAAGGTTGAAAACAAGCCCTCTTTCTTAGCCAGAGGGTCGGTATTTAGCAATCACAGCTGGTATCGCTGACTCTCACCTGTTCTGAGTATAATTAAGTGGGAAAACACTTAGCAAGGCCTGTGTGGCATGTGGGTGGATGTTGCTGCTGTCAATGCCACCTGCCACATTGCCACCATGCCAGCCTGTGACGGCAACTGTGGTTAATTTGCAAAGTGGCCCCTCTACCTTTAGCCACTGTCAGGAGTCGCCTCTGCCAAGTTGAAGGGGGGTAGGACTTTGGGTTATTTAAAGGTGATAACCTGGAAATAATCCTGAGCTCAGCAGTTAAGTATCCAAGACTCGGGAGTGTACTTCTTCCTGGCTGTATAAAAAACTTCAGTCAAGTGGCTTAACCTTGTGAGTGTTGGTTGGGCATCCACAAAGTGGGGTGATGACTCTCATCCCACTGGCTAGTACGGGTTGGATACCTAGAGCCTGGAATGAACTGCCTGAGCAGGTGGGTATCTCTCCATATGCACAGGACATTTCCAGAGTGCTTTTGTCCCTGCACGCTAAGATGCTCTGAAGGTCCATTGCCTTTGGACTAATTAGGAGATAAGTGAGCGGCAGCAATCATTGGAGAAGGATTTAAGGGAAGAAGGGAAATATTTAGCCTGATTAAAAAAAAAAAAACTGTTATTAGGTGGAATTATATAAAGCACCCAGAGCTGTGTGGCCACATGTCAGCTGCAGCTATTATTTCAACCATAGGAAAACAGTTGGAATTAGAGGAACAAAGGGTTGCTATGGCTACAGCAAACCCAGGTCCTTCTCAGTGCACCTGGGGCAAGTCCAGTCCCTGCTCTGGAACACAAAGCAATCTGAGGCCACCAGAGAAGGTATAGGATTACTGCTGGGGAACCAGAGCCACACTGCCGGGAGATGGGTGTAGGCTGGGCAAGGAGGGCTTCATTGAGGAGAGGGGAGAGCCAGAAATACATTGGGGTGTCTGTGAATTGCTAGGGTGGTTAGAGGTGGGAGTCCTCCCCTCCCCCATGGTGTTGAGGGTAGAACCAGGGGCTCTATGTATTCTAGGCAAAGCTCTGCCACTGAACCATATGCCCTAAGCCCCTTATGGAGATTTTTTTTTAAAAGGTTTGTGTACTTTTATTTTATGTGTATGAGTGTGTGCCTGTATATTTGTATGTACACCATGTGGGTGCAGTGCTCACAATAGTCCGAAGAGGGCATTGGATCCCCTGGAACTAGAGTTACAGATGGTTGGGAGCCACCAAACTCTAGTCTTCTGCAGAAGAGGAGTAAGGCTCTTAACTAGTAACCCATCTTTCCAGTCCCATGGAGACTTTTTTTTTAAGATATTTTCCCCATGATGTAAAAGAAAAAACATTTTAAATCTTATTTTCTGTGCATTGGTGTGAGGGTGTCAGATCCCCTGGAACAGGAGTTAGAGTTGTGAGCTGCCATGAAGGTGCTGGGAATTGAACCTGGATCCTCTAGAAGAGCAGCCAGTACCCTTTAACTGTGGAGCCATCTCTCCAATCCCAAGAAAACATTTTTTTTAATGGGAAAAAAAAGGGTGCATCTGGTTAGCAAAGCACTTGGCTAGCATTTGAAGCTCTGGGCTACATTCCCAGCACAGTGGAAAAAGACAAAAGAAGTGTAATACTAGGGACCCTGTCTCCCCAATAATACCAGCTGGTGAAGGCTTTGTCCCAGATAGATACAGGCCATGAGTCTACTCAGCCATGGGGGCTCTTTGGGAAGACATGAATCTGAAGCAGTGATCACTACTGCCCTCAGCCCTCCACCTGAGGGGCACCCCCCAGGGGGAGGGTCAGTGGAGGAGGTGGAGTATTAGGGTGATACACCCCATGTTTGAGCTCTTGCAGTTAAGGAGCCAATCAGACACTCACCAGGGCTATGCCCAAATCCTGGTGGCAGAGGTTTAGGGAGAATGTCATTATCTTGTCACCTGTAGTGCCAGGTGCTACTCTAAGGGCCTCTGTGAGCTCCCCTAATCCCAACAGTGCTACTAAGCAGGGCCCATTCTCTGGGGACTGCTTTGTGAGTGCTCTCTCCCTGAGAGAGACCAGTGTGCCTGAGCCTGTGCCTGTGTGGGAGGGACAGTGGGGCTCCAGGTGTAAGGTTCCTCACTGGTTTAATCTCACTTTAGTGAGGGGCAGTCTGTCTGCAGCAGTGGAGATTGAGGCCTCCAAGGTCTGCCCTGCTCTTGGCATTCCATAGCAGGTGTTTCTCTGGCTAGGAATATTCTGTTTCCACCACTGTAGGGGACAGTGTCCCCTCTCACAAATCCAAGACATGTCCCTGTGGTATTGTGCCATCTATGACAGGCTAGTCCAGCTATTTTTTGCCCTTGCTACGATGCTGAGCTGAGGGGGAGCTTCTGTGGCCCTGGCTGCCCACTGTGGTTATGCGCAGCCTCTGACACTTTCTCCTTGGATCAGACAGGAAGGTCCTACTTAACTGCCCAGCCCCAGAAGCCACCCCGCTAGTCCTTGCCTTTGTCTCTCAAACTCCTTCCAGTTAAGGCAGGCAAAGTGTTTGGCCCTGTCCAGAGTTGGAAGAGCTGCCACAGAAGGGACTGAAGGGCCTTCAGCTTTGCTAGCTGCCGTCCATCCCCCTACAACCCCTCGCCCCATAAGCCTGGCACATGTGCACTGCATCAGCCAAACAATGGCTGCTGGTCAGTTTTGTTTGACATTTTATCCAGTGCCTCCCAGTTTACAACCCTGCCCTTCCCAGCCTTGATTCTAAGACTACTGGGAAGCGGATGTAGCAGGTGAGATTTCTGGGCTCCACCTTTAAGGTTGAGTTAATAGGTACAGATGGGTCCTGGTACTCACACCCTAGCTTATGCCCCAAGGTTCTACAGTCTATCGGACCAAAGCCTGGCCAGCTGGGAGTGGTAGGTAGCATACACTTTTAATTGGCAGGCAGAAGCAGATGGATCTCTATGAGTTTGAGGCCAGCCTGATTCATATGAGTTTCAGGCCTGCCAGGACTACACAGTTAGACCCTGTGTCAGTCAAAACAAAATGAAGACACCAAGGTTTCCCAAGCAGATCTTGAAACGTTGCCCAAAGTTTCCTAGTTCTGAACCAGAGCCCAGTCCCAGGTGAATGGTAGGTGTGATGTGGCAGGTTCTGGGATGGCCAAGAAGGTTTCAGTGGGATATCCTTAAACATGGGTGTTCTAAGAGTTTAGAGCCAGAACAAGGAATACCAGGGGAACGTGTCCGTCCTGGGATACAAAGGGGATCACCCACCCGGGATTGGACAGAAAGGGTTGGTGAAGCTTGGATTCAGGTGAAGTTCAGAGAGAGCTCTGGAGGCAGCTGGGAGCCGCTGCTAGTTCTTGAGCTGGGGCTGACCTGGCTGTCAGGCAGAGTTTGCTAGAAGTGAACTGGGGCCATGCCTCTGAGTTTCCAGCAGCTGGTGGCAGGTCATGAGAAGGCAGTGCTGTGCCTTGGGTGGACATCACAAAAGCTTACCCGGGCTAGCAATGGAGAGGCAAGTGCTGGGGTTGCCCTGGGAGATGCCCTATGCGCAGAGGAAGACACAGCTGATTTGTGTCAACCTCCGGATACTCCCCACATGGATTTTAACGCTGAGTTTTTCTTCTAGCCAAGCAGTAGCTGGTGTTAGGCACCATCTTGTAGCCCTGGAAGCCGCTGCCACCGCCACCCGCTGCACCAACGTCCGTCAGCCTGACAGAGTTAGATATGAATCCCGTGCACCCAGGTTTGCAATAGGAGTTTATTCTCTCTGCCTCTGGCACCTGTTATATCTACAGGGTGGGGGTATTAAGAGTGTCCCTACTCTCTCCACCTCTCTCTTGTTCCCTCACTGGAGCACATCTCCTTCGGCCACCCATGGCAGAGTACTGTGGGGCCAGGGCTTTGGTTTCTTCTACAGAGTGGGATTGTGTATGGACATACCAGGGCTTCTGAGGCCCTATCATGCAGCTGCCAAGGGAATTCCCTGGTACTTGACAAACCTTTAGGGAAAGTTCACCCTAGCTAGAGTCATCTGGGGAGATACTCGGGGAATGTGTTGTATGATCGAAATTGAAGCAAAGATTCGGGGCTCTCCAAAACAACAGCGATAAGAATCTCCATCTTCTTGGGGAATTTGTGCTCTGAGGCTATGACCAGGTTCTAGGTCACTCTCTCCTAAGTGTCTGTTGCTACATTTTGCCCTGTGGCTCTGCAGGCATCCCTGCACCAACAGGGTCCTCAACACTCTATCTGATGTGTTTACTGTGCCTGATGTCAGGAAGCAGCTGGGGCTCTTGGTGGGAGGGGTGACAGACAGCTGAGCACAGGCTGGTGATGTTGTAGGACCCTGAGGCCATTGCCCTGGAGGCTGACTGTCATTGCCTGGTGGGGGTTCTGTTCTTTACTCTTGTATGGTCAAGGTGTGGGGTGTGAGAGAGCATCCTGTGGAGGTCTTCAGCTCCTGGGAATGGGGGTGGGTTAGCAGGCACAGCTTCCCCTTTGCTCAGAATCGAGGGTGGCTCTGGGTGGGTGACTGCTCCTGCCATGCTTTTAGGTCATAGTCTGATCAGGCTTTGGTGCCAGGAAGGAAGGATGCCCTTCCTGTGTGGGAAAAAGAAGCATTGAAAGATGAACCCTTGGAGGGAGTGGGGGGTGTATTTACAAATATCACACACTGCCCAGACATCACACCCACTGCACAGATGGTAAGGCTGAGGCTCAAGGGTGGACTTGCCTAAGGCCACCTAGCAGAGTATACTGCCTGCTCTCCATGAAGTCGTGACTTCAGACAGCAGAGATGACAACTTTAGGGGCCTGGCAGTGCAGAGGGAGTCACAAGGTGGCCTAACACTTGGGGCTTCTCTTGCATTTCTGCAGAGTGAGAGAAGGGTTCTGCTTCCCTTTCATAGAGAGGACACAGGGTGCAGCCTTGGGTTTCTGTAGCTTGAAAGTGGGGAGTTTTGTGGAAGTGGCAGAGGCCTCCAGAAAAAACCCTGGGCTCCACATGCCTGCCTCAGGACCCTGGTGCCCCACACCCACCACAAGAGGCCTATGGCCCTGATGCTGGGGAAGTGACGCTGCTGGAGGTGAATGACAGCCCTGTGGCTGGGTGAGTCAGTGCCAGGAGCCCATGCCTGCTGACTCACCTCCCCTGGCTCCTCAGCTGAGGGGGAGGAGAAAGTGGGGAGGAGCAGAGCTGTCCCTTCAGAGCCAAGAGCATGTCCACCTAGGAGCTAAAGAAGACAGGTGGCTGGCAAGGTCAGGAGCCAGGTGTCCTGAAGCTTTTTGTGTACAAGATCTCCAGGTGCACACACCCCGGCCCTGCTTCTAAGACAGGCCCAGAGCACCCTGGAGGTACCATGGTGTGGTCAGGCCTCCCTACTTCCTCCTTCTTCCTCTCCCTCCTTCTTGCCCCCCCTTCTCTTTTTCTCCCCCACCTTCTCCTCCTGCCTAGCTTTGTTATTACAAACTGGAGGTCTGCTGAATGGCATTTGGTAACTAGGTTACTTCCCCAACCCCCAGCCCCCAGTCCCCAACCTAGGTTCTGGGTGTTCAGTCCAGAGGGGAAGGATCTTCCCTGTACCCCTTTGCAGTCTCTTCCTACCTCAGAAGCTCTCTCCTGTCTTTCCTCTGAACTTCCCATAACTTTGTGTTTTAATAAAACGTGCTTTCCCACTGTCTTTGATTTTAGGGAACAATAGGATGGCCCTGTAACTAGACCAAACAAGTAGATGACAGGCAGGTGACAGATGGGGCTTTGTTTCCACACAGCCATCTTCTGCCACCAGGGAGAACTGCCACTCTGAGCCAGGCCTGGAGTCATGTTTTGTAGAAGGGGAACCCTGTGCTTTGCAGAACTTGGCTTCATCTCTGGAGTCTGGTGCTACCTGTGCTTAGAGACACTGTCTTCCGCGTATCACCAGTAGTGGACCTTTAGCCAATAGGAAGGAGGTCCGATACCCATTCTTTGCACACAAAGCAGCTGCCTTCCACCATCCCATGAGTGACTGACTCTGCTCAGAAGGGCAGTAGGTAGCTCCAAGGTGTGGGGGTTAAATGACCAGAAAGTCACAGAACACAGGCCCTTAAGACCCTTTTCCTGACCTGGAAGAAGGTTGTCCACTCCAGGAAATCTGGGGCTTGTAAATGAAAGGGTTTTAGCTGTCAGTGGGACAGTGGGAAACTCATTATAAATCTAGGTTTAAACCTGGACTTCCACTGTCTATTTGCCAGGTCTATTGTAGCTATCTTGTAAATTTTGTTTGTGTTTTCAAGGCAGGGTCTCCCTAGGTAGCTCTGGCCAGACTGGAGCTCACTATGTAGACCAGGCTGGCCTCAAACTCACAGTGATCCACCTCCTGAGCACTGGGATTAAAGGCATGTGCCATCACGCCTGGCTTATCTTTTTTCTTTGTTTTATGGGTGGTTTGCTTGAGTTCATGTCTACACTACATGCATACAGTACCTGCAAAGGCCAGAAGAGAGTATTAGGTTGAACATACCATGTGGGTGCTGAGAACAGAACCCAGGTCCTCTGGAAGAGCAGCTGGTGCTCTTAACCACGAAGTCACCCTTCCAGGTCCTAGTATGGCTGTCTTTGTGTATACTTTCCCCTCCTCTCAGAACTCTGTTCCCCCAGATCTTCTAGATAGAACTTGGCTTGATGGCAGTATGATGAAAAGCACGATCTGTCTGGATATAATCCCAGCTGTGTGTGTGGCTGCAAACAGAACCCACCACACCCTATCTGCTTGCCCCTGTAAGCTGGCAAAAGGTATTGTTCAGTTTGGCAGGTCCCATCTGGAGGTCCTCTAGACCTCTGGGTGAGGATGTGGAGCAAGAGCATTCCTGCTCTGAGCCTCAGCATCCACCCTGTGCTCCAGAGGGTGAGGTTGCAGCCAGATCAGGAGTAGGATGCTGAGCCCCAGGCACCCTGGCCAGAGACAGAGCTAAGCTAATGCTTCAGCAAGCTCACTTTCACTCTGATGAGGGTTCTGCTGCTCAGTGTTCTGTGCTCTGTTCCTGGCCAGTGGAACCACCAGCTTCCTGGTTGGCCTCATGGGGACAGGCCATTGGAGCTCAAGCCTGATCTTGCCTGTATACTCTTAACAAGCCTTGACTTGCCCTTTACTGGCTGTGTTGACTGAGCTGGGCCAGTGGTCTGACCAAAGTGGGACTGGCTGGGCCACGCCCCTTTTCTTTGAGTTTGGAGCACAGGCGTTAGAGAAGTTGGAAGTACTAGTGCCACTCAGCTCTCTTGGGACACCATGAAGGATCTGGTCCCAGGGGATCCCAGTCCAAGAGGCACTTTGGTGGCAGTAGCCTAGAGCTGCCCATCCTCCCTGGTCCCTGTTCTGTTCTGCCTTTGCCTGCCAGACTCCAGGAGATGGTTCCGTTGTCACACTTGACTTAGCCTGTTTGCAGAAATAGATTACCAAATGATGATGAAGGCCATGTGATCCAATTAAATGATTAAATTGCTTAAAGGTGTGCTTTTTATTTTTTTTATTTTTAAAGGCTTTTAAAAAGTAATTTCTCCTTTAAAATTTCTCTTGAGCCAGTCTCATGTAGCTCAGGCTAACCTCAAACTTACTATGTAGCTGAGGATGATCTTGAACTCCTGATCCTGGTGCCTCCTCCCAAAAGCTGAGGTTACTGGCCAGTACCACCACCCTGGCTCTTAAGTTTTCCTTACAGAAACATCTACCCTGCTTAGAGGGCAGAGAACATTGTTAACCAGCTCACTTAAGCCAATGATGCTCTTTACACAATTCTTAGGGCCAAGAATGTAACCTGAGCAGAACAGCAGACTCTTGGCAGACAATTCTAGTGGATCCCAGCCTTCCTACTCAGACATTACTGATGGATCCCAGCCCTCCCACTCAAACATTACTGATGGATCCCAGCCTTCCTACTCAGACATTACTGAAGGATCCCAGCCCTCCTACTCAGACATTACTGATGGATCCCAGCCCTCCTACTCAGGCATTACTGGTAGATCCCAGCCCATCTGCTCCTTGCACCTGTACATTTGTTATTGGTCTGTGGAGACTTTGCTCCAGTGAACCCCTTTTGAGTTGTGAGATGTTCTTGCTGACTAGAGGCAGGCTCCTGTGCACAGGGTCCCCATCACAGTCCCATGACCCCTGGTTCAGCCTGTCAAGTCATGTGGCCCTTCACTTCCCTGTTTGCTCTTGAGCTTGGTTCCCTAATTTGTCAGCTGGCTCAGTGGCTTGCAGCTGGTTTTTAACTTTTAAAAATGACATCTTTTGAATGTGAGTGGGCTTGTGTGTGCACTGATCACAGTGCTCATAAGTAGGTCAGAGGAGTCAGTTTTCTCCTTCCAGCCTGTGGATGCCACATCTAGGGATTGTGGCGAAGCACTTTTGCCCACTGAGCCATCTCATCAGCCTGTATCTGGCTGCTTAAAGGCCCCCGGACCTATTTTACTTGTGAAGTTGTAGAGGTGGCATCCCTGAATGTCATGGGTGGTTGAGAACATGGGCTTTGGATGTTTGGACAGACCTAGGGGGCATTCACACTCCTGTATGCCTTGTGTTGCCATGGTCAAATGACCTTCACCTCTCTGGGCAGTGTCATCAGCAATAGCAAGATGATGAAGGCACCTTTGCAGGGAGTTAATTAAAAGGCCGCCTGGGGAAACTTCACATAGTGCTAAGGAAAAAAATGTGGGTACTATTAACTGCAGCTCTTTTTCTTTTCCTTTAAAATTATTCATTTTTA